AATCAGCTGTTGCGTTGGTGTCCGTCCGTCGACTGTACGTATGCAATCAAAGTGTCGTATGGCGATTCCCGTCCGGTGAGTTGCAAATGTGGGCACGTCTTTTGCTTTGCATGCGGCGAGAATTGGCATGATCCGGTCAAGTGTTGTTGGCTGAAAAAGTGGATTAAGAAGTGCGATGATGATTCTGAGACATCCAATTGGATTGCGGCCAACACCAAAGAGTGTCCTAAATGTAATGTGACAATTGAAAAGGATGGCGGCTGCAATCACATGGTGTGCAAGAATCAAAACTGCAAACACGATTTCTGTTGGGTGTGCTTGGGGTCGTGGGAACCACACGGTTCGTCATGGTACAATTGCAATCGGTATGATGAGGATGAGGCAAAAGCGGCGCGTGATGCGCAAGAGAAGTTGCGCTCCTCGTTGGCAAGGTGAGTGTACAAAAATATCGGAAACATATAAATTAATATTTATTCATGCATTTTTTCTTTTCAGGTACTTGCACTACTACAATCGCTATATGAATCACATGCAGTCGTTGAAATTTGAGAATAAACTCTATGCGGCGGTCAAACATAAAATGGAGGAGATGCAGCAACACAATATGTCTTGGATCGAAGTAAGCTAAATTGATTGTTAATAATAACAATCGCTGAAAATATTTCCCTTTCCTTTGGCTTTGTTTTTTGCTAGGTGCAATTCTTGAAAAAGGCTGTAGACATACTCTGCCAGTGCCGCCAAACACTTATGTACACTTACGTGTTTGCCTACTATCTGAAGAAGAATAATCAGTCAATGATCTTTGAGGATAATCAAAAGGATTTGGAATCGGCAACAGAGAAATTGTCCGAGTACTTGGAACGTGATATAACGTCGGAGAACTTGGCTGATATTAAACAAAAAGTGCAGGATAAATATAGGTGAGTAGAGGAATAAGACTCAAGTTTGACGGCGCAAAACAGTTAACAGATAAACCATTTGATAACCGAAAAATGCATCTACCAATAGCAATATAAAATAAAAGATGGTTTGTTCATCTAAAAGTTTGAGAGCTGCGTTGTTTAAATATATTCTTAAATTTAAAATTGATAAAAATTTGTAAAAACCATATTTTTGATAAACTCTGTTCTTTTAAATTTCCCTATTCTATGCATTATTCATAATGTCAATCTATATCTATATATATAATACCCGAAGGCATTTTTTGTCCAGGATAAAAGATCTGTACCGTTCGCCTGATTTTCAAAAATGAGACGTCAAATTAAAGCGCTTAGCCTGTAGATGTGCAAACTGGTTTTGTTTTTCGAATAGGGTTGCCACCTGTTGAACAATTAAACTCAAATTATTTAATAATCAATGCCACCCTGCACCCTTCGTTCGATTATTAAAAGTGAGGTGCCAAATTAAAGGGCGCGGGCTGAAGATGCGCAATGTGGTTTTACTTTTTCGAAAAGAATTGCCACCTTTCAAAAATTTAAGTTGAAATTATTTAAAAAGTTAAACCAATTATAACGAAATTGG